GCACCACGCACACACCACACCCCACACACCACACACACGGGGGGAGAGAGGACCTAGTAGTGGTCGGTGAAGAGGCGGGGCCAGGAGCAGTCTCGACCCCTGCAACCACAATTAGGTGAGTACGCACACATGCAGACGCAGGCGCGCACACGCAGACGCAGGCGCACACATGCAGATGCAGGCACACACGCAGACGCAGGCACACGCAGACGCAGGCACACGCAGACGCAGGCACACACGCAGACGCAGGCACACACGCAGACACGGGTGTGCGCGCAGACACACACACACACATGCAGACACACACACATGCAGACACACACACACATGCAGACACACACACACACACATGCAGACACACACACACACACACATGCAGACACACACACACACACACACATATGCACACACACACACACATATGCAGACACACACACACACACATATGCAGGGCACACACACACACATATGCAGACACACACACACACATATGCAGACACACACACACACACACATATGCAGACACACACACATATGCAGACACACACACACATATGCAGACACACACACACACACATGCAGACATACACACACACACACACACACATGCAGACACACACACACACACATGCAGACACACACACACACACACATGCAGACACACACACACACACATGCAGACAACACAAAACCCCACACATGCAGACACACACACAACACACATGCAGACACACACACAACACACATGCAGACACACACACACACACATGCAGACACACACACACACACATGCAGACACACACACACACACATGCAGACACACACACACACACACACATGCAGACACACACACACACACACACACACACACATGCAGACACACACACACACACACACACATGCAGACACACACACACACACACACACACATGCAGACACACACACACACACACACATGCAGACACACACACACACACACACACACATGCAGACACACGTCAAGAAACTAGAGAAAGTACAAAGGTTTGCAACAAGGTTAGTTCCAGGCTAAGGGGAATGTCCTATGAAGAAAGATTAAGGGAAATCGGCCTGACGACACTGGAGGACAGGAGGGTCAGGGAGGACATGATAACGACATATAAATACTGCGTGGAATAGACAAGGTGGACAAGGACAGGATGTTCCAGGGAGGGGACACAGAAACAAGAGGCCACAATTGGAAGTTGAAGACACAAATGAGTCAGAGAGATAGTAGGAAGTATTTCTTCAGTCCATAGAGTTGTAAGGCAGTGAATAGCCTAGAAAATGACGTAGTGGAGGCAGGAACCATACACAGTTTTAAGACGAGGTTTGATAAAGCTCATGGAGCGGGGAGAGAGAGGGTCTAGTAGCAACCGGTGAAGAGGCGGGGCCAGGAGCTAGGACTCGACCCCTGCAACCACAAATAGGTGAGTACAATAGGTGAGTACACACACACACACACACACACATGCAGACACACACACACACACACACACACATGCAAGCACACCACACACACATGCAGACACACACACACACACACACACACACACACACACACACACACACACACACACACATGCAGACACACACACACACACACACACACACACACATGCAGACACACACACACACACACACACACAC